TCGCTCAGGCTGAACTTGAAAAATAAATAAAATGAAATAATAATTTACTTCGAAGAAATTTCGATACTTCTTGGAATGAAGTTAAATCTCTCATGCACGAAGGGTTAATGTCTTTTCAATTCTTCTTCGAATGTATTCGAAACTACGAAAAGATAGGGAACTACGGTAGGAATAGGAAACGAGGAGGGAAAGAAGTTTGGCTGAGAAGAGAGAAGAAAAGATGAAGAAAAATTTACACGTGTTTACATGATGTTCGGCACGATCGAATAGCTATGTTTGAGATACAATTAAAAGAAGTGGGAGGAAGAAAGAAAAAAAAGAAGAAGAAGAAAAGAAGCAAGAGGAACGAGCCGAGTGACCGAGCGAGCTCCACCCTCTATCCTTTCGAACCTTGTGGCCTTTCAAATCGAGTAAAACGAACTGTAGTCGAAGAATCGTAGCTATTACAGTGGGTGAAAAAAGTATATTGGCACGCCTAACCTAATCTTTCGGTGACATTTTTATGAGAACAAATGACGTATGAAGGAAATCTGTCACAGTACGTGTAAAAGTGATATAAAAATATATAATAAATTTTATGGCAAGTATAAAAATTGAAGAATCAAAAAGATACTTTGCAACTCTAATGACATTCCGTCAATGCAGATTGACTAGAAATAGTAAGTGTAATTACTCGATAATCCTTTGACTCTCGAATTCTTATATTATTATTCTACAACTCATTATTGGAAATTACTACTTTTGAATATAGTGAACTATTCATGGAAACAGATTTTGCTGATGTATCATTTGGTTTTCGTGAAAAATGTCGTGAAAAGCTAGGTGTGTCAACACTTTTCTCACTTCCGCTGTATATTGTCGTTGTATCATCTCTCTCACGTTCAAAGATACAAACACGATAAACTGGAGAAAGAAAACGACGAAAGAATAAAATGTTAAATTAGGATTGGAGATAGGACAGGACTATTAATCATCCGGACATCGCGATCGATCTGACAGAGATACAGGCATATCCGGGGTTTTTTTTTTCCAAGTATTTAGCGTAAGGCATGACGTGAAACTAAAACTCATCGACAATGAGGCTGGAATGGCTCACGAAAATATCCGAACATTTTTATGTACATCAGTACAATTATTTATTTCATTATAAAACTAAGCGATGAATGTAATTAATTTTCTTAATTATTAATATTAACTATTATTAATAATTATTGTGATTACTAATGTGGTTAGAAATGTTAGTACAACAATGATAACAACACGAAATTAAAACCATCACGCACAGCTGTATGAAACATTTTGATATTTCATTAGTAATTATAACACGAGAAATGATTGTCATGATTATATATTGGCAAAATGTGAAACCAGTTTTAAAAATGGAATGTCGTATTAATGAAATGTGAAAATGTTTTACGCAACGTGCATAATACATTCACGAGAAACGATCTCACCGCGGTATTTAATGAAACATCAAATTGCTCTACATGTGACACACGTAAGAAGAACTTTTATAAATGTTCTAATATTTTATAATAATGAACAGTTGCACATGTAAGTAAAAAAGTTCGAATCGAGCCATTTGGAAATGATGCATTTCAGTAACATGTTCAAGGACTCTCGGCTAAGTGATCGATTATTATTAGCAATTCCGGTTTTCACGGGAAACGATCGTCATTAGGAATGCGTATGTCGGTGGTGAACTAATCTTTATGTTAATAGCCATCGGTGTTTAAAGCATGCTCAAGTTCCGTGATCTTACCAGCGATGGAAGTTAAAAAGTCATTCTCGACGTGTTCAACGAAAGATATTCGTACAAATTGTACGAATGTCTGTTCAGAACGTTCTCGAACTGAATATACAACAGCTTTTCAGTGGTAATATCTTTATTTTAAGACCAAATATAGTTACTATAAATATCTTTTTTTTTTTATTTAGCAATCACAGTGAACTTTTACCTTTCGTATTTTGACGATATTTAAAAATACTGCTTTATGTCGGTGAAAATACCGACAACTTCTCATAGTATTAAATATATATGTAAATTGAATGTTTGTGAGTATTTAAATATTCTTGCTTCGTGTGATAATACGAATAATAAATTAATTAAAATAATAAATTTTTACGAGTAATTAATAAATTAAAGTAATAAATTTTTTTCCTTTCTGATTTTCCATCTTGACCCTCAAGTGGACTAATTTATACTAAATTGGTAAATGCAAATTCCTTGCATCATTGGAAACATAAGGAGGTAATATTGGAGAATTACATAAATCTTCAAATAATAACATCAACACGTAATATAATTATTAATTTGAAGTTAGAAAGGGTTGCAACCACCCCAATAATTCATTTAGGAATTAAACGTAATACGGTAGAGTCTCTCTTATTTATCGTAAATCTCCATTTTCCAATATCTGGAAACATTATTAGAATAAAATGTCTATTGGTGAACTTGAAACTCATCTGCTACATTCTATTACTATACTCTATTTTCTAATATCGAATAGTACATTATTAGAACAAAATGTCTGTCGATAATTATTACATTCTAGCATTCTATTACATTCAAATCTTGTAATATTAAAATATTCGAAAAATAATGATTCAAATGAGGCAGACTCTTTAAATTTATGTTTACTTTAATTTAACAGCACAAAAATTTTAAAATGTCGTAGATAAATTGACGCCGGACATAAAGTATTAAAACATTTAATATTCCGATTTTAAGTTTATCGATTTTATTTTGGTCGTCACAATTCTTAAACGCGCGAGAATGTTTTACACGTTGATAATTTTATAATCTAATCTTTATTTTTGATTACGAAATCATACCTCACTCTACGTATAAAATTTAACTTCAGTCGATTGTTCTGTCTCTAAAATTGAAATTACCTACGAACTAGGAACTCGAGCTTCGAGGATGGGAAAATTCAATGTGACAAGCAAAATGACAAAGTGATTTTGAACAACTTCGAACGATTTCAGACTTTTTTTTTGTAACAAAGAGGAGACCACTTAAAAGTAGAATATTAAAAAGCAAAATTACATTCATTCGCAAAATTTTTTAGCAAACGGTATCGGATTTTTTTTTTTTTTTTTTTAATGTACCGTGTAGAACAGATGATGTGGCATGATCCGAGTCGTTCACGGATACAGATATCCCGATCGAGGGAACGGCGTACTTGTCGCGTGAAACGTGTAATCGCCGAGTGAAACTTTCACGCGATCCCCGACCTCGGTTTCGCCGTTTAAATCGTACCGATACCGACTCATTTCGGTAAGTAACTGTAAACTCGTAGTTCGCGGGTTTAACAGATTTGTGATTGACAACGTTGCGTCATTCAATATTTATCTCTATTTAATAATTAAAGGCACAATCTCTGCGTCATTGACGGAGACGAACAATTTGTTGTTCAATTCTTTGATTGGAAAAAGTCGTTCTATTAGTAGAAGTCAATTATATAATTATATAATATACCTAAAGTATTGGATAATGATTAATTTTAACATCATAAATTAATTGTTAATATTTGTAATAATAATATTTGTAGTTAATATTTGTAATAATAATTGATAGATTAGGCACGTGTTTCTATTATTATAAATAGAAAAGAAAAACAATTTAGTGAAAAGAAAATGCTATGCTAATGGAGTGTAAAAAGACACAAACTATGTTTATAATATCTGTGAAAGGAAGCTGGGCTCATGTTCAATTAAATGTTTCATACAAATGTTGAAACAAATGTTTCGTATCTTAAAAATTCAAATACGGTAGAACTCCATTTATACAACTGATTGTTAGATAATTAGATTTATATAACTTATTGTTAGATAAGTGATTTATAATAATTGGAGTTCATATAAACGATTGCTTGTTCATATAATAAATCAGAGACCACAATTATTAATAATTATTATTAATTATTAATAATTAAAATAAAAAAGGATAGTAATTATTTTCTCAACTAAAATGTCTTCAATGTGACCGAAAATTTTTTTCATTAAATATTTCGTTGTTACCTCGATGACGAGGAAAATTTCATTTTTGGTTACTATAACAATTATCAGCGAGAAAAACTTTGTTTCAGTTGCTCGTAACAATCATCGATCAGGGAAATTTATTCTTGTTTCTTCGTCAACCTGACATTAAAAGTGCAAAATAATACTTTACGCTATTATAAGCGATCGAAATAGAACTAAATAATGATTATCGACAATAAAGAAAAAAAGGTTTTCAATCACTTGTAAATATCACGTGTAACTAAAACGTTTGAAAACCCAAATTTTTTAATCATGTAGTTTTCCGACAAGTTTTTGTTCTTCACACTTTGCAAATAAACAAGTTTCTGTTACCGACTTTTACAATTTTTGAGATAATTGTTACTCTTGGCCCCTGATGTAAACTATTTGTCCATTCGACAAGTTCATTACACAGTCGCATTCATAGTGGCGCATGCGATTCGGCATATACACATCATTCCATACAGCACAGTGCGCGACATAATATCGATAAGTGTTTCGATAGTAGTATTTCGCGAGTAAAGTGCCATCCTCATCGAAAAAAAAGTGTCTGACGATTACTTAACCAATCACTCAAGGTGATCTTACGTGTCAGCATTTGGGACAATCCTAGTTCTCCACTGGGAGATTCACTCCAGATCTGCTCATCTGCAGAAAAATTCCACAAATAGACCACAGCAATACAATGGAAACTAATAGTAGAAAAAATTAAAGTCACAGCTTCTCGAAGACGGTCAATGTCACTTTTTGACTCATCTCCACCAAAATCAATAAAATCAAAGGTACGGACATCATTAATCCGGCGATACAAACCAAAAACAGGTTCAGCTTAGTTGCCGAATGCCTGTTGACAGATCACGACAACTGTAATAGTAACACGTTACTCATGGGTAACACCATAGCACATGAAAACATAACACATAATCAGCTCTGCAATTATAAAACCGCGTAACACCTATCTACACTTATTTACGTCCATGGTCGATCAACCATGTGAAGTGGACATCCTTTTGGACGCCCTTAAAGAAAAATATACTAACAGCTTTCAAGTTAAATTTACATCAAACAAATTAAAAATTATGTTCGAGAACACTAACGACTTCGCACACTTTAAAAATATCTGCCAAAAAGAGAACATAGAGTTAAGTACAGGAAAAACAACAATTGTAGTCCTTAAAGGCCTTATAAAACCAGAAACTAGGATATGCAACAGTATTAAAAATCAGGGCTTAAACCGTATACCATGCACAAAAATCCCCACATATATCAAGTATCCAATCTATCGAGTCACATTTGCACCCGGGACTTCACTAGCACAAATTAATCACATCAGGTACATAGACAATATCAAAATTTATTAGGAGAAATTCGAATCACACAAATTCAATATTTCTGTTGTCAATCACACGGGCACACCTCAGCAAACTGCAACAAAAAAGCAATTTGCGTTAAATGAGTCGGGCTGCACTATTCCAGAGCTTGCAAAAGAACATTCAATATACGACCCACCTGTGTAAACTGCAAGGGAAATCATCCCCACCAAATTACTCAAAATGTTTAGCTTTACTTGCTTTCCTCGTAAAAAAAAACACACACACACAAACAGTATTCTAATTGCCACCAACCACCCTACACTCACAACACTTTCTCACCGTTTGCCCCAGTAATGCTCCCTACACTTTCTCCTCTACTCTCTCCATATACGGATTAAAACAAAGCCTCAACAATCACAACATTCTCCTACGCCACAATATAATTATTCAGACATCTCAGATCAAATAGACCAACTAAAATCAGCAGACCTTGATCTCTTTCTAAAAATTATCTCTCTAATACAGGAATATTATATAAAATGCACCAACAATCTGGATAGAGTAAGAGCACACAATACTCATAGTAAAAGAACTCGACACCCATAATAACACACTGAAATTCACATTATGGGACGCTAGCAGCGTAAGGAACAAAACTCTCGAGCACAAATTCCTCACAACACGGATATAGCCATCATTACTGAATCATGGTTAACACCTACGGGCACTTTTAAACTCAACAATTACAATATCTACAGAAAAGATTGACTTCCTCGCTACTTTCAAAAATCCCAGAGGAGGGGTAGTCCTAGCTATACGAAATGATATTCCTGTTGAAGACATCCCACAACCTACTTCTCCCAAAATAGAATGTGTATCAGTACAACTAAAAATCACACCCACACTCATCACTGATGCCGCTTATGTACATCCTACAAAAATCAAAATTAGACCATCCGATCTGGACAGCATGATTCCTCTTCATAGAATTGGATATTCATCGGAGGAGATTTTAACGCTAAACACCGCCTCTGGAACAACCTAAATAGAAATGCTAGTGATTCGGTTGTTAAAAATCATTCTGAAGTTAAGGATTATTTAATAATACACAATACAATACAGACAACCTAACTGCACACCCAATATCGATATCTTCTTTTTCAATTTACCATGCCTTTACAAATACCAAATTATCGATGACTTCTCATCTCCCCATACTCCCCATATTTCTATATATGATTAAACAAGACAGAAAGATTAATAATGATCGAACACACCGATTGGACCACATATGCTAAACTCTGCAACATAACATGAAACAACATAAATCCAAATTTAACAAACATGATGTCGATTCAGAAATTCAAAAATTCTTATACCATATTCAGAAGGCATTCCACAAAAATAATATCGGCCCAACATAAACCTCATCACAGACCCGCTCCTTTCACAAATAATCAAAGACAGAAACATGAGAAGAAAATACCAAAAAAAGACAATCTGTTTTATAAACTCTAAAGAAACCTCACAACCAATATACCAATAGAAAAGAATAGTCCTTGTGGAAAACAAAAGTTGGCAGCAAAAGTTAGCAAATATAAAGAACACCGGTCCCACACTCTGGCAAATTTATAGAATCATTGGAGGCTCCAAAGCCAAAATCCCAATTTCTCTACAGAACAAAATATCACTCTTTACACTGACAAGGAAAAAACCGAAGGCCTCGCCAGAAACTTTGAGCAGACTTGAACGCTCACAACACACACTCTTTTCTAGAACAATAAATCCAACAAAAAGCATTGCTCACCAGAGAAATCTCTCCACCTAATCAAAAGCTCATAATTCTGCACGCTAAAAATGATCAAAAACATAATCAAGAAACTTCCTAACAACAAATCTCCGGGTCCTGACAAGATAACTCCTTCTAAATTAAAAAATCTATCGAACAAACCAATTATCCAACTCTACTATATCTATAAAGTCTGCCTCAAACTCGTCTATTTCCCAGCCACCTGGAAAACGGCCAAAATTATTACGGTATTTAAACAAGCAAAATGCATTAATAGTTACAGATCAATTAGTCTTCTTAGTATTTTTGGAAAATTACTAGAAAAAATCATCTATCACTACCTCCACAAACATATAAACTATAACCACGTCATAATACCACTACAATTCGGCTTTAGACACGAAAGCTCATGTATACAACAACTACAACAGGTAACAGAATATATCATCATGGAATGCAATAAAAATAGAATTACACAACTTCTACTCTTGAGTCAGTCTGGCACACCGCTCTGCCAACTAAACTACACGAATTAAACATTCCCGTACAATTCTTAAACATTATAACCAGTTACCTATACAATAGAAATTTTTATGTTTCACTAAATGGCACAACCTCAATGTTCAAACATCTGTGCTGGAGTCCCACAGAAATCCATACTTGGCCCTCTTCTTTTTATTATTTATATAAATGATCTCCTTAGAACATACAAAATACACACAGCCATCTACGCCTCCTCATGGAGCTAAAAAGTTACATTATATATACAGAATCATAACATACTACAAGACATTACATAGACAGCATTATTAGTGATACATACAGCGATTCGATTCATCAGCGACACACAGAGCTCGTTGTATATACGATATCAATCATCATTCGCATATTCGCAACCGACCAACTGGCTTGACAATGTTGGCTCAGTGGTAACACTGAGTCAGTAATAGTCTCTTTTACTATGACCTGTAAATAATTAGTCAGAAAGGCAAAATACAGTAATTGGTCATCTATGTTTCTTTCCCCTTCTCTTCTTCCTGATAAACCGAAATATAAAAAGACATGCTGAGAAGAAGCAAAAGCTTACTTTTCCACCAAGATTTCAACAGAAGATTTTTGTACACTATCCTTTACCACGATTGCAACGTAGAATAAAACTCTTTGAAAAATTCTAAGTGTTGTTCCATTACGGAATACAACATTTTGATCCGCGAGTACAGTGACATCATTGAAAAGTGTCATTCGAAACAGAACAGTTCAAAGTGTTTGACGGATACTCAACCCTACCCTCAAGGACACACTGCACTTTGTATTCGTATCTGAAACGAACAAATAACTAGAAGTTCCATCCTGTGAAGACGTTCCAGTCCAGGGTAATCTGAAGGAAGAGCCAACCATAATCCAGCAGAAAAATTTACCCAATGGAATACAGCGCAAAAAAGGAAACTCAAAGAAGAAAAAATCAAAATCGTAGCTACCCGAAGACGGTCAACATCGCTCTCCGATTCACCTTCAGTCACCAAAATTAACAAAATAGAAGATATGGATATCATAAATCCGACTATCCAAACTACTAATAGGTTCAGCTTATTTACTGAACAAGATAACTCAATTCAAAATCCCTCAAGAGTAACACCTCTACACACGTAAACACAACACCCAATAAAATTCCAACAGTTACAAAGCCATCTACGTACATGGAAAGATAAATCACGCCAAACTCCTCGACGTTCTTAAAGAAAAATACAATAATGCTTTCCAAGCAAAATTTATCTCTAACAAACTTAAGATTATATTTGCAAACGACTTTGCCGAATTCAAAACTACTTTTCAGAAGGAATATCAGGAATACCACACGTACACTGTTAGTGAAGAAAAAACAATCACTGTAGCTCTTAAAGGTCTTATAAAGCTTCCAGAAGCTAGAATCTGTAATAATATCAAAAATCAAGGACTAAACTCCATACAATGCACAGAAATCCCAATCCAGGCAAAACATCCGATCTATCGCGTAATTTTTGCACCAGGAATATCAATAGCAGAAATCAACCATGTCAGATATATTGAAAACCATAAAAATCTACTGGGAAAAATTCGAGTCGCACAAATCCTATACAATGCTCACTTCAGCAAACTGCAACAAAAAAGCAGTCTGCGTTAAATGTGCCGGACCACATGATTTTAGAATTTGCACGAAACTTGAAACACCACCTATCTGCGCTAACTGCAAGGGAAACCAGCAAACTTTTCAAAATGTTCTGCTCTCCTAGTCTATCTCTCCAAAAAAATGTATACACAAATAAAATCCTACCATTACTCCAACCGTTTCCCTCCTCCCTACATTCGCAACATTTCTCCAGCCTTTCCCTCAACAAAGCCAACTAACATAAACTAAACTAAAACAAGGCATAACTTACGCATTAATACCTCAACAACCACAATATCCTTCGCCAATAGATCTCAACATAACAATCCAGATCTCACTGAACAAATAGATCAACTTAAATCAGCAGATCTGGACTTTTCCTAAAGATCATGAGGACCTTTCCTAAAAATTATCACTTAATATAAAAATATTATGTAAAATACCAACAATCTTGAGAGAGTCAAAGCCACAATACAAATAGTAAAAGAATTAGAAAATGGTCACTCATAATAACACACTGAACATTATCTTATGGAAGGCTACCAGCGTAAAATAAAACCTTTGAACTGCATAAATTTCTCACCGACCACAACACTGACATAGCCATTATCACCGAAATCTGGCTAAAGCTCCCAGACGCCCTCAAACTCAACAATTATAATATTTACAGAAAAGATCGGCTTCCTATCACTTCTAAAAACCCAAGAGGAGTGGTACTCATAGACACACACAAAGATATTCAAGTAGAAGATATTCCACAATCCACTTTTTCCAATATAGAATTTCTCAGTTAAATTAAAAACCACATCTCCACTTACCATAGGTGCCAATTACCAAACCAAATAACCCAATCCGACCTAGACAATATCATCCCCCCATATAACACTGGTCACTTCCTCATTGGTGGAGATTTCAACGCCAAATACCACATTTGGAACAACCTTAATAGAAATGCTAACGGATCAGAAATAAAAAATCACTCGGAAACTTAAAGATTATCACATCATACATAACTCAACCTATACTCAAAGACAACCGAACTGCACCCCTTCTAACAGAGACATCTTTCTTTCCTACCTTTACAAATAAGATACCATCGACGACTTATTTTCTAATCACATTCCAATACAACTGTTAATTGTTACACTTGTATAGGACTGAAAGAAGATCAATAATTACAGAACACACTCTGCAACAAAATTAACTTAAATCCATACGTAACAAACAAACTTGATGTAGACACAGAAATCAAAATCTTTACACACCACATTCAAAAATCATCGACGCACCACACTCCATTCAACCTATAACACAAGCCCTATCATAGGCTCAGACCATAAAAGATCGAAACAAAATGCGAAAAAGATATCAAAAAACCGGTAACGCATTTTACAAACTCCAAAGGAACATCCTCAGAAATATAATACAAAAAAAAATAATAATAATTAAAGCAAAAAACAAAACCTGGCAGCAAGAACTCTCTAACATTAAAAGCACAGATCCCACTCTCTGGCAAATTTATAGAATCACCGGAGGTTCCAAAAGCAAAATCTTTGTCTTACAAAATACAGCAGAATATTATCTACTATTCCGACAGCGAAAAATCAGAAGCACTTGCCTGAAAATTTCATCAAGTTCACGTAGACGTTCAAAATACCTACTTCCCGCTTGAACAACAAATCCAACACAAAATAAAGCTCCTCAGAGCATGCCCTCAAAACTCATTCTGCACCCCCAAAATCATCAAAAATATAATAATGAAACTATCCAATAATAAAGCTCCTGGTCCAGACAAGATAACTGCCATAAAACTAAAAAACCTGCCAAAATCAATAATACAACTCCATTACATATATAAAGCCTGCCTGGATCTTGCCTACTTCCCAACTGCATGGAAAATCGTGAAGATTATATCGATATTAAAACCTGGGAAACCTGCTACGTGCATCACCAGCTACAAACTTATTAGCCTTAAACATCTTTGGAAAAATACTCGAAAAGATCATTTATCATCGCCTTCTTACCCACACTGGTAAATTCCACATTCTCATCCCGCAACAATTCGACTTCCGACATAAACATTCGTGCATTCACCAACTACGACGAGTTACTGAACATATCATCATTGAACGAAGTAAAAACAGAACTACTCAACTCATACTCCTGGATTTACAAAAAGCCTTCGATATAATCTGGCACACCGCTCTCTTAACAAAATTAAACGACATGAATTTTCAAGTACACCTTATAAATAACCAGTTAATTCGATAACACAAAATTCTAAGTATTAATAAACAGTTTGATATTATCAACAAAAAACCGGCGTCCCCTAGGATTCCATTCTTGACACCTGCTCTTTATTCTACATATCAACGATCTTCCCAGCACAACAAACACTCATACCGCCATATATGCTCGTGATATCGCCTTGTATGCCTCCTCATGGAATCCAGACAAAGTTATATCATACTTAGGCACTGCAAAACTATTTCACAAACTGGAAACTAACAATCAACCCCGAGAAGACTCAAGCCATCTCTTTCACTACAAAGAAAAACCTCAAGCTAAAACCAAACCTACCAAAACCAATGATAATTGCCGGTTACCACATCACATGGCCCCCCACAGTAAAATACCTTCTTGAATCATTCTTGACTCCAAAATCACTTGGTATCCCGCAACACAAAAAAGAGCACACTTGGCATATGCCGCACTTCGAACAATCTATCCATTAAATATCAAAAAACAGTAAACTTAAGACACAGGTCGAATTAAACTATAAAACATGCATAAGAACAAACACCTACGAGCATCAAATCTGGGCCGCTGCAGCTAAAACATACATAAACAGAATACAACGAATTCAGAACAAACTCTTCAACATTCTCTTCAATAAACCACATGACACCCCCATCAAACAATTACGTGCTAGTGTTAATATACCAACTATCCTAAATTCACTCACCACATATAAAACATTTTATCACTTTAACTCCAAATTCAAATCCAATAATCATATGTTAAATGCAGGTTACAGGAATACTCCACCCCAAGGACTACATATTTAAGGGGGAAAAAATGGGATAAATACTTAAGAGAAAAAAGATGAACCTACTACAAGAATATTTTAAGAACTGGAAGAATAAAATTCAAGGTATTATTACTTTTACCATCAAGAAAAATATTACACTAACACCAATCATAATCGCCGGCCAAAACATTACTTGGGAGTCATCTTATACTTCAAAATTACATGAACACCCTATACAAAAGATCTCAATTGGCATACCATAGAATATATTTCAATCTCTTCTCATCTCAAGAAACAGCAAACTCAAGACAAACATCAAATCTATATAAAACCTGCATAAGACCCATTATCACGGGCATCAAATCTGGGCCGCTGCCGCTAAATCGTATATCAACAAAATTCAGAAAACTCAAAACAAATTCTTTAGAATAATCCTGAATAAACTCTACGACATTTCTATCAAACAATTACATCACCAAAATATCGACAAGAATTTATCAAAAACTCACTCACTACCATCCGAATCACCAAACTTACTTATCCGAAATACTGGCAATTACGATGTTACCTGCATCTCCTTAAAAATCAGAACTAGGCTACCAAAGCACGTACTTCACATACTCAAGATCATATACAAGTTCAGTAGGTTTTTTGAAATTTTTCTTCTGCAACCCCTACCTACACAAAGCATTTTAACTTACAAATAACTCCGTAAGTCATATGTTTAATACAGGGACTCTGCACTCCAGGAATTGTAGAGAAAAATACTCAAGGAAAAAAAAAGAGACAAGTTTATTCGCGGTTCTTCTCTTTCTTTCCCTCGAATTGTATTGTCTATCGATCAAGCCGGGAAGAATCTCTGTTGTAACAAAGTGTACGCTGTTTTGCTAAACTGCGCTCCCAGGAAATAAAAAGCGAAGACGGGGAGGCTGGAGAGCGTTATTCTGAAAGAACAAAGCGTATAAAGATGGTCGTATTTATTTTTTGTTTTTGGCGACGATCGTGCCGGATTCAGACGATTGCTAAAAGAAAAGCACGAGTCGAGAGATGACTAAGGTAAATTTTCGAGAGAGAAACGCGTTGCGTCGTGCGCCACCTTCGCTCGACCATTTAGTCCTCTGCTTGACGCGACGCTCGAGCTTGCCTTTCGATCTTTTTCTTTCTGTCACAATGACCACACGCACAACAATTATCTTTCAAGCACTTTTTAACTTCATCTTTTCTTTCTTTTTTTATATGCCGTTGATAGAGAAGTGCCACGCGAAATTTAGACAATCATTCGAAACGATTAAAAAAGTTCTGTTGTATTTTAAAATTGATTAGATTCCCGTGTAAAGAATTACATTTTCTCCTAACTCTAAAACAATGGTTCCCAATCTTTTTTTGGCCCCATCTAAGCATCTCTAAAATCCTGACGTTCCACCCCTGTGATAAATATAACACATAATTCTTATTATTCAAAAAGTAAATTTTTGAAATTGTGGAGGAAGCTTAAAAAGTCATTAACTTGATCTAAACAAGCTTCCAAAGAACATGACATCTATGAAAGAACAAAATTGGAGTTAAATTGTAAATATTAGAATATTAATACAATTATTAAAATATAAGATTATTAAAATATTACTAAAATATTAGAATATTATAATATAATTATTAAAATTTAAAATTAAATTTTCATTTAAAGAAATACAATTCAATTCGAATTGTCCCCTTATGGCCCCACGTTGGGAACGCGCGGCTCTACAATATCTGAAATGTCTAGAATAGAACAAAGTACTGTCATCATGATACGTAGATATGTATATATGAACCATTCCGAAGCCGAAAAATAAAGAAGCAAATGTTTCATGTCTTGAAAATTAAACTCCAATATCGTGCACTTCAACAATGAAGCTGTGAAACTTAAAGAAAGCCGAGTTAATCTTATTGTTAGCGGAGTTTACCTTTCTTGAGAGTTTTTACTCATACAACTCGCAGATTTACGTAGACAATGCGATCGGTAGTGATTTTTACACTTGGATGAATCTTTCGATTTCGTCTCAATCATCTCGATCATGATGATGATGATCATTGAAATCAAGGACTAATCGAAA